CGGATAGTGGAACGCCTCGTAGATATACAAGACAGCTGTATACGCAGTCGCGAACAAAGATAGGCAGTGTACTAGACGCAATGCAATGTCCTTGGATAAGATGTTGGATAGAAATATCGTAAAATCCAATGGTACACTGTGACATGGCGATTTGTAATGGAATAAACATACACCTAGGTGATGCGCAACTGCTCTACCGGTGAATGTTGTGGATGAAGATCCATTTAGATCAGTGCAGCTACCATTCGGACTACGTTAAGTTGTTATAAATAATATCACTAATAGTTTCACTACAGCAATACAGAAAAATACCTTATAATCTTTCTAACAAAAACTCAAACTGAAAATTCTATAACAAATAAAAGATAGTCCTGACCGTCTTTCAAATCTTGCTAGAAGTAACACAACCAGACGATAAAGGTAAGAAAATGATATGTGTAAAATTATAAAATAATCCGACAATGCAAAAGTGTGCAGTGTTTTAGTTAAAGTTTGGAAGTTTTTGTATTTTCACATCGGTTTATGAACATAATTGTGTAACGGACAATTCCAGAATCGATGAAGAATGTTTTTCTATTAAATTACAATGTCTTAGATGTATAATCATAATATATTTTTATATTTATATGTTTGATATTTCTTTAAGATAATATATATATCAATTATATTGAATACACCATGTAATTCTTTGAGTAATTTTGGGCCTTGGCTTTTCCGTACGCTCAGTAAATCGGAATTATTATTTTCATGTTAATGGTTATAAAGGATTCCTCATAATAGGAAGATTATAAAGAAATGATGCTTTCTTTTTTAAAAGACATATGGAGATTGAGCTTTTCTAATTTTCTAATAGAAAACAAACTTATCATATTTAAATTATCCACATACAGAATTTATCTACATGCAGTATTTCTAATAAATCTATTTCCATTTGCAATAAAATCATCTGTAGAATATAATGATAAAACGAGGAATTAAATGTCAATACGCCCGATATAAACTATGTTTATAATAATTGACATATTTTATTAATCGTAACAATACATTAAATTTGAAATATTTCGTGAGATAATCTTACCACGAAAATTTAAAAACTGAGAAAAATATTAAAAAATTAGTTCTTCATTTTCTTTGATTTGACAGATTTTCGGGCGATTGCTCTAACCTTAAGTTACCGTGAAAACTTCTGAAATAATTATCTACGGAAACTTCTACTCTGATAAAGAAAGAAAGCTTTGATTCAATTTCTATTTCTGACCATCATCGCTCGGTGTCTGACAATGGGAAACGAACGTGACTTCCCTGCCGAAAAAATTGACGAATGCCGTCGCAAGAAACGTTCTCACTAATTATGATTAAATCCTTATTCTACAGCTGTATACTTATTAACAAATTCTAATATTTAACTCAAACTAATGATTAGTGAAGTCAGAAAAACAGTAATGTTTCATAATTCCTCCTCTACCTCCTAGAAATAGAAGATACACGCAAAAGAGACTTTTGGCCTTGGTTTCTTCAACCAGGATTCCAAACTAGGATCTTTTTCTTTCCGAATAAACGCTCTATCACCAAGCTACGAAGATATATATCTATATGTAAATCTATATAAAATACAATTTTCTAATGCGTGTATTAAATTCCATAGAATTTAACGAAAAATTATTTTATCTCGACTTAACGTAACGATATATTTATTGCACAATCACACGTTTATTTTTTAACAATAAATTTTTAATCTATCTTTAATTAATACATGTAATTTATTTTGTATACTATATAAATCCTTAGCCTAAGTCGCGTACCATTTACGAATGTTTACGAAAGAATATAGAGTGCAATCTGACAATTTGTGAAAACAACCACTAACTGTTAATCACATGCACACGACACATCATACATCAAATGATACATATATGATGATACATATATACATCAAATGTACAGGTTACTTTGATAGAGTTAGTTGTAAGGCAATTTTACAAATAAAAATATAAAATAAAAACATGATATTTTTTAATTCCGAATTTTCGAAAAGTTTCGCCTAAACCAAGCTGGATTCGTTACATATTTCTTCCTACGCATTTATATTATACTGTATATCGTGATTTCATTTACTTAGGGATTTTTTTTTCTTTATTGAGAATAAAAATCTATTTTTTCATTATAACGCATTCTAAATAAATAAAAATAACACGATATCGTTATACCTGTATATATATATTCGTATTTAAAAAAAAAGTGTAAAATTAGAACAGTTCGCACTTAAATACAAAAACAAAAGATGAATAATATTTTTTAATTTAAATTGAATTAAATGGATAAAAAAAGAGAGAAATAATTAAAAAATTAAAACAATGTAAATATTTTAATTGTTTTTTTTTTATTATAGTTTTAACAAATATACTAGGATGTATTTTATATTTTTGTTCGTGTGAAATATGATTCAGTGAAAGTTTTCAGAATGTAGTCTCATGGAAAATGTGCTTTTCAGTTTGCACCTAACAGCCCTTATGGACATAAGGTCCAGGACCGAAAGTCTTCCAAAGACACAGCTGCAGCTGTAAGCTGCAAATAGTCCATCCTGTCTTCTATGAAAACAAGAAAACGAACTTGTTTCGATTTACCTCTCTTTCTGATTATGATGGGGACTGGTACATGGTGGCAATTGGAATATGGTGGGGTTTGGCGTATAGTAGATATAAATAGGAAAAGGAATAGAAGGGAGAAATATGAACAATGGGAATCATACCAGAAACCCTTGAGAATTATTCTGTTTTCACATTTTCAAACCGACGTAATACAGAGACTTAAAAGAAGAATTAAATAAGGGACTAGATGTAAAATGATATTGCTTTTTTTTTATTACACAGGGTTCTTGTAGAAATCAGATTTAATTACAATAGTTCCAAAAAATATTCGGACGTTATAATGAGAATAACTTCATAGCACATTATTTTAGTCATTTATTCAGCGATCGTCCTGTTTATTTTTATTTTTTTTCTAACAATATGTTATTTATTATGGTTGATACAGATATATGAGTTATTTGAAAAATTTATATGTATTATATAATGTAAAAATTTTTAAAAGAAATAGTGCCACATTTTTTAGCTCATAAAAAATATTCGGATACTCTTCATTTTTATTATTTATTTAATGCAATTTATTATCATAATATAATTTTAATATATCGAGGCAAAAAATTTTGTTTTAGAACATATTTTAATTTATTTGGTACATTGTCTTTTTTTTAAATATTTTAGTTATATAGACTTATTCATTCTCGTATATTCGTTTATATTTAGCTGCTGAAGAAACTGGAATTTTCGAATTTTTCTATTCAATTTGTCTCATAAATTCTCAATAGGATTAAAACCCGGCCATTCCGTTGAGATATGAAGAATTTATAAATCTTTCATAATAAGAAATATTGTATAATGTTTGCCTAGTGCTTAAGATTGTTATTCTGATGAAACTTAAAACTAGAACTATAAACTATCTTTAAATATGTTTATGTAAAGATTTTTAATCACAATAAGGAAAAATCGATAATATCGAAAATATCATCGAAAATTAATTTTCCGTATATATGTACATACAAAATAAATAATTTAATAAATAAATAAGATAAATGAGATTAATTCTAAAAAATTATCGTATTTGTTATATTACGCAAATATTCTTTTTTACTCGTATATTTTGGTAATTTCTTTTAATCTCGAACGAAACAAACATAGGCATTCTATTACGTGCTGTACAAATTTGTTTGTTTCTTCGTCTAACATTATTTACTATACTAGTGAAAGTAAACAAGAAAGTGAAAATATTAACCAACCTAAACATTCTACATCTCGTCCTCTTGAATGTCAAATATGATACGCGTACATATCTGAATAAATATATTATGTTTGTATTTAGTAATATATGCATATGTATACATAATATACGAATACATCGAAAGAGAGAAAAAAGGAGATAAAATAAAAATAATAGATTTCTTTCGAGATACTTTATTTTCACCAATGATGATCGTTCAATATATTATTAATTCTTTAACAAGTTGATTAAGATTTTTGTATATATTATTCTGAAAATAACAATTACATTTTCTTACAATGATAAATTATTGCAACTCTACTTATGTGTGTTTGTACATGAGTGCAACATACGTAATATGATTGTATCCTTATTGATAGCTTGATTAGTCAGTTAATAATTTTGTTACGGGGAAGTTTTTGTACGAAATATATAAAAATCCCACGAAATAGTAATATAAATAAATAAAATTTTGAATATTACGATAGGGAATTTTACTTTTGTTTATACTATTTTAATGGAATTCGTCAGAGAATTTAATTTATGTCAAATATTATCTTCCTTAACTTTTGAAGCGGGAAAAATCTAGTACCGAGATATTATTGTATAATAATAATAATAATAATAATAATAATAATTTATATGTACATATTATAAATATTATAAAATATACAAAAAATATATAATATTATGTATTTTTATATATCATACTCATATACAATATATACTGATATATTTTAAATTAAAATATATGAAAATATATAAATTTTTTCTATTAATAATTTCTTTATTCCATTTATTAACAAATCATAATAATAATTATAATTATTATTATTATTAATATCATAATCATCAAAATCATTATTATTATAATTTTAAGAATTTTGCATTACGTATAATTCTATAAACGGGCATATGTACATATACGCACATATATACATACATAATATTACCCTCCCAAACAAGCTGCAGTAAGTCCTAAGTCCCACTACAAAGTTTAAATCCCTCCCTCTGCGTCCAGATGTGCGATTGGTCAGAATCCTTCCCCTACCTTTGGAATCATCGAGTTATAAAGAAGGACTATCGAAATGCAGTCCCATTCGAAAAACAATGCTCGCCGGTACGGGGTCATTTTTCGAACGTACATCTCATAATCAGTGAAACGAACAGAAATCGTTTCTTCCTTTTAACGAAGTGAAGATGTATATAGAATACAAGGGAGATTCTCGTCTGCAATTCGGATTGAAAGTCAGCAACTCAGCAACGAAAGGACCACATATCGCAACGTCTCAATCGTGCCATCGTATTTTATTCGGTAAGTCGAAATAAAACAATAAATGCACACTCGCACTATATTATCTAAAGATTTCATAATTTTTATTTCGTGCAATAATTAGATCGAAACAATCAAAACAAAGATTTATCATAAAAAAAATTTTTTCGATCCAACTAAATGCCTGTCGCATAATATTTGCATATCTCTAGACGATTATTCGTTAAACAATGTTATTCATTAAACAATATTTTTCATTAAAAAATATTTTTCGTTAAACAATATCAAAATAAAAAACAGCAGAATACAAAATGCATGTTCCGACGAATCTAATGTACATGTTATTATTTGTTCCTTTATACTTTTCATTTAAAATTAAACCAATTGAGAATCATTTACGTGCAGAATTTTTATTGAAAATACTATTCGATTGAACTAAGTGCTATGAAATGTGCATAACTAGTAGACATTTCAAGAAAAATAGATTCAATTCTTATCAAACATAATACACAATTATTTTTGCACGAAGAACCTTAAAAAAATCTATGCACGTGTAAAATTCGTGATGAAAGGACGAATATATTACAGAGGGAGAAACTCTTTAGTAGGAATCTGACAAATTATAGACCATGAAGAATTCTAGTAGATGGCACACAGGGAAGATATCCTCACATCTTTCAGAGAATAGGGTAATATTTAATAAACCTAACGTATTCTGGAAAAGGAAAATAATCAGAAGAATTGTGTTTCGCTACACCGATTGCATTATTATGGTCATCATGGACAATCTTGACAGACCGAATTCTAACGAACATAATATAGATTTCTTTAATTGTAAGAAAAGAGTTATGATTTAACAAAAATTAAAATAAATGCTATGGGACGTTAATAACCTGTTGTCTTTGAAAATAAGGAAAGATTCAATAAGAATCGCTTTTAACTGTTAAGGTGATATCTCCTAATATTTGGAATAATGCAGCATTTTATGATTTCGTGCAAAACTTTTCATGAAAAGAGCAATAATTAAGTGTATATACCTTTCATTTAAAATTAAACCAATTGAGAATCATTTACGTGCAGAATTTTTATTAGAAATATTATTCAATTGAACTAAGCGCTATGAAATGTGCATAACTAGTAGACGTGTCAAGAAAAATAGATTCAATTCTTATCAAACATAATATACAATTATTTTTGCATGAAGAACCTTAAAAAAATCTATGCACGTGTAAAATTCGTGATGAAAGGACGAATATATTACAGAGGGAGAAACTCTTTAGTAGGAATCTGACAAATTATAGACCATGAAGAATTCTAGTAGATGGCACACAGGGAAGATATCCTCACATCTTTCAGAGAATAGGGTAATATTTGAGAAACTTATCGAATTATGGAAAACAAGAAGAATTGGAAGAAATGTGTATCTCTGCATCGGTGGCAAGATTATAGGAAATAGATATAATCTTGACAGATCGAATTTCAACAAACTGTATATAGATTTATTTAATTTAAAGAACAGAGTTATGATTTAGCAAAAATTAAAATAAATGCAATGAGATATACAAAACTAGTTATCTGTTCAAAAAAGCAAAGATTCAATAATAATCGCATTTAATCTCTTAAGCTGAAAGTACGTAGTATTTGATATAAAGCATTAGTTTATGATTGTCATATCGTGCAAGATTTTTGATGTAACAATGAAAAATTAAGTGTACTTCTTTCAATTAAAACCAAGGGGAAATGAAAATCATTCATGTTCAGAATTTTTATTTGAAAAAATTGCTTATAAGAAAAAGCGTTATCTTACGTTGATTAAAAAAAAAAATAGTGAAGCATAATTAAATTTAAGCGTGTAATAGAAAATTAAAACAAAATATTCGATAGGAAAGTGTGAATTTCCCAATTTCCATTATAATGTTAAAAATAGATAGAGAAATTTTACAAAGCGAAGACTAACGTATTGTTTTTAGGGAAAATTCGGATAATTTAAAGAATAGGTAGGTATTGTGCGAATTTAAAATGCAATAAAAACAAAATTTAAGAAAGATACGAATTTCATTGTATCGACAACATTAAAAAATTAAGTAAAACAAGAACAAAAAAAGCGAAGTAGAGATTCTGTATAGTTTCTAGAACAGTTTGCTTATCGAGAAAAGTGAAATCTAACATAACACGATACATATGATTCATTGAATATTGATAAAGGTTTCTGTCTATTCAAAGCAACGATAATCTTATAAAATGTATTACTCTGTTGTTCTGTTTCAATATCCTGTATCAAATATCTATCTTTATCAAGTATCTTCACGATTTCGTATAGTCCTTTATATTTCGTCTCTAATTTCTTATTTCAATCAAAACTAATTCATATTTTCTATCAATGAAAAATCGTGTACTGTGTATAATATTGTTGAATATGTATTGTTGAAATCTAAACACTTCTAAAGATTGTTACGAAATAATTTATCGAAATAGATAAAAATTTTTATGTCATATTAAAATCGATTAGACTTGGCAAAATTAAACAAGGCATAATAATATTTTCCTGATATGAACTAACTAGTCAGATAAAATTATATATATATGTATATATATATTATATTATTTCGTTAGATAAATAGCCAAGATTTCTATGTCCTCTATGAAAAACAGAATAATTTTGAATAAATACATAATTGTTTTAAGGTGCAATTATAATAACTATTCCATGATTAGAGTAATTTGTGAATATCTGCAACGACACTTAAAATTTTTTTTTTAAAGAGTTTATCTAATAATAGGACTTGTCTAAACATTCAGTGATACAGGAAACACTTTGATAGTCAATAAATTAGAAAAATTTTCTAATGATAGAAAATAACATATCGAACACATAAAGATCCCAAATTGCAAATGGACAATTAGGAAACATTATTTTAGAAATCTAATAAATAGCAACTCGGTTGTAATTTAGATGGTTACGATTGGTATATACATTACTTATCAGAAATTCAATGTAGAGTAGTATAATGTAACAAAAGGAACGCGGTATGAGACAGATAGAGAGAAAAAGAAAGAGAGGATATCTATTCCTTCTTCGATATTTTTGCGATGTTGCAATGATACCGTTCAAATATACATACAATTGCAATAAACTCCGGCAGATTATTTAAAACTACATTAAACATAGTCGTTGAAACGCGACAGGCAGCATTAGAAAGTCGAAATGGTATTCCAGCGAACTGATAAAATCCGACCGTATATGTTAAACGACAATTATATAGTTTAGAAACTTCAATTATCGGTGATACTTGATAATATAACGGTTACTTAGGACTCGATATGATATAATATTTAATATGTCTGCTCTGTCTGTTCGATCGATCCTGTATTCTCTCGATATAGAATGTTATTATTTAATTGTTATTATTTCATTGTTATTATTTAACTGTTTTACGATCTGTATTCCCGTTCCCCTTCATTCTCCCATTCATACCTTGCAAGTCATTTTATCTCGAAAAGTATCATTGAACAACAGGAAAACAGAAAATCATTCGCTTCAATGATGTTACCTTCTATAATCTAGTTACTGTGCATTATTTCCTGTTGTCGTTGTTTATGATGTTGAATAATCAATACGGTTGATAATGTACAGTTGTCAAATCCCATTGGTGTTTCTATCCATCTCAGTTCTATCGATACAATATCCATTTGTTTAAAAAAATTCTCAACGATTATATATCTCAATACAGGTTGAAAATACTTACTATTCAATAGTTCGGTGTACAACATTTTTGTGTATAATGAATATGATTTAGTGTTCGCTTCTATTTTCGTGACTTCCTTGTTGGATCGGTTTTCCGCATGTAATGACGCGCTATCTCTTTGTCCATTACGAGCCAATAATATTTAATACATGTCTCTACAATCTACATGGTCTTGTCGTTCACTGTTGTTACTTGACACATCTTGGGATTAATCGTCATCATTGATTATTAATATCAATCTGTTCTGAGATTATCTCATTAACAATTCATTTGATCTACTCACGATTACAATATCGTCCTGTGTGTCATCCTCTCGTAAGGGATGATGACCTATAGGATCAAAGGGATGACTTGATACGTCATCGGAACTACGGATAGATCTTCAATTCTCCTTTACTCCCAATTATAGTTCCAACAGTTATAATACAGTTATAATACATATCCATATCCATACTCTATTAATTTTACGAAACTTTAGATATGTACGTCAGTCCTATTTCATCGTCGTTGTTAATCCTGTATTTAGTATCACCTATAAGTTTCCTAGATCGATCATAATTGATCTGATTATAGTTCAACTTGTTCGAACTATATATCTCTACTATTGTAGTTCTTTTTACAAAGTTATTATCCTCGACGTTCTCTTTCTCCAATCTTAATAAATAATAAATAACAATTTACTTTATTGTATTCAAAAATTTAACATTACTTTATAATTTGTATACTTATTATCTTATTTTCAGTTGAATCCCGTAATTGTCGTTAAAAGTCCTGCTTTTCATCAATTTATCATGATATGGTTGGTTAGTGTGGTTAATGATCAGCACTTTTTTTTTAAAGTCTGCTAGCAGTTGATTGGTACAGATAGGTTTTGCATATCTTGAAAGATGTCCCAAATAATCGCAGAATTGTATGTTTCTTAATCCCAAAACTAATCTCCATTTGTTTCCTTATCTGGCATGGTTGCTTTTGTGCGTTTGGCTAGTTTAATAAGTAATAAATACTTTCTGCCGCTAAATAAATTCTATCCTATCTTCCTATTGTATTCTCGTGCAACTAATCGTTGCCATTGAGAAAGATAGGCAATCACATTATCGTTTTGCCAGATTTCTCTTCAAATCGCCAATTAATAATGCTTCAAAATCTTCTCTAACGATTCTAAATTGTTTAACCGTGTGGCGTATACAGAGTCATAACTGATCTATTTTCTTTATTTTTTTCGATTAATCGAAATTATTCTTTATTTTTTTTCGATTTATCTCTCAACCTCGAGATCCGAATAAATCCGATTCGAACGTCGGTAATATTTCATTGGTGCCTTTAATATATTAATCCTACGTTTTTACGTTATTCGCACATTCCTGCGAATAAAAAGATAACAAACGTCATATTTATTTATTTTTTTTTTACTCACTTTCATTTAATCTCAATCATTATTTTTTTTGTTTCTCGATATTTTGTCGTTGCCTATTCTCGTTATTGATTGTATTCTTTATCTTCGTTGTTACTGTTCTCAACAACAGTATCTTCGTAATGACTATCTTTATCTTTTAAACGTGTTGACATGTCTATTCTTTGTTCCTAGAAATTTTTTTTTTCTTTATTTCGTTTTACTCTTCTTTCTTCCTGGTGTGTCCGAGAGTTGCTGAAATCGATTAGATGCTTTAGAGAGATCCTTTAATCTTTGTATTTTCGTAACGATCATTTTTTTGATTATGCTCGATCTACTTTTTGTCATTGGTCGGAGAGAATATATCGGTCAAATAAAAATACCGGTAATTCAACTATCTTAACCGTGATTACGATGTTCCTTGTAATCTATATACATATATATATACATTATATTATATATATTATATAATCTGTATACATATATATATTATATTATAAAATTTTCATACGTACCAATCATACCAAAGAGAATATTTTCTTTCGATTTGATATTTTTCATTTTGATATTTCACTTCTTATGTAATGGGTTATTCTGAAAGTAATTTCGTTTTTTTTTTGTGAAAGTGAAAGACAATTTTCATATAATGAACAAATATTTTATTAAATTATATATTGGCCATTCTGGTCCAATACCTTTTACCATCCTTCTGGTAATAGCATCATTCCACGCTCATAAAATTTTTGGTCTTTGCTGGCAAAAAACTGATCGAGGTGGTTTTTGACCTCCTCATTTGAAGTAAAGGTTTTACCGTCTAAAAAATCTTGCAGTGACCGGAACAAATAATAATTCGAAGGTGTCAGATCTGGAGAATATGGTGGGTGTGGCATTGTATCCCATTCAAGTTGTAAAAGCTTTTGGCGAGTGATCAAACTTGTACGAGGTATTGCATTACTTGGTGGAACACTATACTTTTTCTGTTGATTAATTCTGGCCTTTCCTAATGAAGTGCATCATTCAGTTTGTCCAGCTGATGACAATAGACTTCCGAATTAATTGTTGTATTATCCGATAAAATTAAAAAAAAAAGATTCCTTTAAAATCCCATCAAATAGATAACATCACCTTTTTGATGGATACTGGCTTTGGAAATGCTTTGAGCCGGTTCATCATTTTTGTTCCATGATCTCTTGCGTTTGACATTGTTATATACAACCTATTTTTAGTCCCCAGTAATGATGCACCTCAAAAATGGATCATTTACGTGACGTTTGAGAAGCGAATCACAGACGTCAACGCGACGATACAAATTTCTCTCCTTGAGAATATGGGGAACCCATATATTGTGCTTCGAGGTTAATCCCAGGCCTTTCAAGTGGTCATAAACAGTTGCATTTGATAAATTTAACCTCTCACCGATCTCACGTGTTGTTATTCGCCGGTTTGCATGAACTAATGCCTTTATCGTGTCTTTATCAGCTTCAACCGGCTTTCCAGAACGTCGTGCATCTTCGACATAAAAATTGCCAGATCGAAATTTTGCAAACCAGATTTGGCAATGACGTACTGTCAACACATCTTCTCCATACACATCGGTTAATTTCTTTTTGGCTTTAACAGCATTTTTACCTTTTCTATAGTAAAAAAGTAAAATATGACGAAAATACTGCTTATTGCTCTCCATATTTAATAGGGCTCCAACCAAAAACTATTGCGTAGAATCAATTGGACTTTTTCACACACAAGCCTTGCTATATCAGCTCTCAAAATATATAATAAGTATAAAATATATAATAAGTGGCTTAAGTGTGAAGTTGGGTGCAAAAAAATACAATTAAATCCTCTCTTGGGAAAAAATGAAATTACTTTCCGAACAACAATTTAACAGTTTAACAATAATTTGTTAAATCTTCATATGAAGATTATTGATACGAGTGAAATATAAAAATAAATTATATTATATATATATATATAATATATAAATATATATATATAAATATTACTTTTTATTAAAGATTAAACGTGTTTACTTTGTGATTGCCTGATCACGACTGACTTCAGTGATGGCGGGGATAGATTATATATATTTGGTTGTAGAGTGTCGCTATCTTCGATCTTTGTAGTTCCTCGCGTTAATTTGATCGTTACACATATAGATATTAAACAAATGCGAAGGACGTTAAATACGTTGAAAAAGATCCTGCGTCATCATTTTTTTTTAGGAAGGGGAGGAAAGTTATGTTCCACTCTACCATCTCATTATCATAATTATTATTATAATTATTATTATAATAATTATATAATACAATACATCGTATTATTATTATTATTATTATTATTATTATTATTATTATTATTATTATTATTATTATTATTATTATTATTATTATTATTATTATTATTATTATTATTACTACTATTTTTATCATCAGTGTTAATATTATTTAACGAAATTAAATTCCGTACAATCATATACATATAGACACGTAGAACATAAATTACCCCACCCTGATCTATCCTAAATCCTACTCTGTATAAATCTTTACGATTGTTCAGAATTTTTACCCCCCCCCCCCCCTTCCACTCCCTTATCATCATCCATTTTTTCAAATTTTTGAAATACGGAGAAGAAATATCGAAGTAAACTTTACAATCTATTCTTTCGGACACGTAAGAATTCGGTTGTTTAATCGTTTATAAACATTATAAATAGAATATTTTAATAAATATAATATAATAATAGAATAATTTAATGAAAATTAATATTTTATAGATAGAAGTCGTTTCTCAACTATAGAATATCTTGATCACGTGGCTTGATATTTGTTATTATAGAAAATATATATTCAAACGGAAATTTTGTGTTTTTTGTTCGGTGTAAAGTTTCAAGGATATTACAAAGATTTACTTTATTATATAGAAATCTATTATTTAGAAATCTATTTTTAGATTTTCCTATTATATAGGAATTTATTATTAGAAGCTATTTTTGTTTTTATTTTTTATAATGTACTGAGAAATAATTTAAAGAAAGTATTTTCGTATATATCTTTGTTCATTTATAAATTATAATTTATAAATCGGTTTATTTTTCTTATGGCCATTTATTTTTTTCTGCCATAATGGTCATGTCTCTTCTTTCCATACATACTACTGTGATCGTAATTTTGTAATTGGTAGATACGATGAGACAACATATTCTACCTGAAGAAAAAAAAAGAAAGAAACAAAAAGAGAAGAAAAAAGATCTAACTTTTATCTGAAATATTTTCATATCTAATCAAGATTTTTCGATATATTTAACGAAATATTTTCGATATATTTAACGCAATTTTTGAAGAAATTACGAGAAATAGAAAACATTTTAATTTCTCCAAAATCCAAAAGCATTATTTAAGATCGTAAATTTTTTTATTATTAGATTTATTTATTTATAACGTTCTAATTGCGTTCTAATGATTATATTCACATCACACACATCCTATGAAAAGAAGTAAGAAATAATAATTAATTATTTAATTGAATATTTCGTGTGTTATATATAGTACATATATAATACATAATATAACAGTACAATAAAATATAATCTTAAAAATTAAATTCATCAAATTTAAATAAACATGTTTCATCTTCTTTAGTTCTCTTCCATCAAAGCAATTCGATTGACATTTAATCGACATTTATTTATTAATAAATTTCAAAATCGTAAAAATATTTTGTTAATTAAGCGGGCAGCTTAATGAATATTATAAGCCATCAGAGTCGCGTTTCTCGTAAAACAGAATACGACGAAGCATATTAAAGTTAGGTATATTAAAAATTGAGTTTGAGCAATGCTTGAAAAAGTGAGAGAGCAATATAGGAGGAAGGTTGTAGCTTTCAAAGAAGGAGACACGTCATTGTCATCGATCAACTGCGCACAATTGTTGACTAAAGGTCAATATGGCCATACCACTTGTCAAGGGACACTTACAAAGACTCCTTCTAAATGTTGAATAGTCCTTTTCTATAATAAGGCACTTAGGTACAAAGATATATGTATACTCATATAACTGACAAGGGTTTATGTAGAAAAAAAAAATATATATTTATATATATATATATATATATATATATATATATATATAAGGAACACGGGGGGAATATCAATGTAAGAGAAATTTGAAAAAGTGTTAGTAATTTTGTTTAGTATTTATTATTACAGCATTCTTGAACTCAACGATTCAGCCTAAATAAATCAAAAGTTTTTTTCGAGATATTGCATATCGATAATGTATACACCTATTGACCAAACAGACCCGACATCATTCGTTCAAGTACTTACCTTTACCGTTAACTCAAAAATTCCGACGCATATTTTACGTCGCTGGGACGTTTTTATTGATCATATGTACGTTACACATACGAAAAATACGAACAGACTTTTGGGAAACTATTGTTATATACTATATTTAGATTTTGATTATCCATAAGTTAATCTTGGCCGCTTCTATTTCGAACGTTTTCCAAAAATTCCCTTCCAATACCTTTGGAAAATGTAGTTTTAAATTTCGATTTTCTGAACCGCTGAGTTGGATATACTGATAGTTGAAGTATTGAATGTTAGAGAGGAAAAAAGTTAACTGATTCTACCTGAGTTCAATATTTATATGTCAATGCCTGGAACTGCATGAGAAAGAAGGAAAAAAAATTATCGTTCATAACTTTGTTTAATCCAAATACTTCAATATCTAAAATATATCTGTAAGTAACTACAATTTATATATGTATTTGCAAATATTATAATTACAAAATGTGATATATAAATTTAATAATATTTTTTTATAAAAAATTCGTGCGAACAATTCTGCGTACATTTTGAAGAATTATGAAAAAGTTTATTCCTTAGGTGGACCTTCGCTAAAAAAAAAAAACAATTCAAGCATTTAATTGATACTATAATTCAATTAAAATTCAAAAAAATTAACTGACGTGAAGTATCAAAATAATTGTAATGTAAGTTTATATTAGGATGATACTGATTTTCAAACATCTAATTTTCTTTTTCCCTTACTATATGTTATATTACTATATACTATAGTTCACTACACTATCCACGTTATTATTATTATATAATAATAATATTATTATTATTATTATTATTATTATATAATAATAATAATATTATTATTATTATTATTATTATTATATAATAATAATAATATTATTATTATTATTATTATTATTATTATATAATAATAATATTATTATTATAATTTGATAATTAATGATATTTATGATAATTAATCATCATTATAATCATCATGTCATTATTATTATAATTGTAAAATTACTGCATCTGGTACAATAGTACATCCAAACACATATAAATGATACAAAGAACACATATAATCCCTATCCCGACTTGCTCTAAGTCCTAAATCATTTTACTCCAGTCACGACAACGCAATCAATAATTGATCAGAATCCTTCAGTATAAATTTTCTCTATCCATAATTTCATTATTCCATTTGTTAATGTATTAAAATAATAATTGTTATTATTATCATTCTCATGATTATTGTTAAACAAGAATTACGTACATATGCAAAATTGCATTTTGTACGAACGTGTGCACACTAATACACATACATAATATTATTTCAACTCAACTCCGGCTAAATCTTAAATCTCATTATTACCACTATCGCTATGAAACCAACTATTGGATAGAATTCTTCCACCATCTTTTAGCCTTTCATTTCCCGAATCTTCGAGTTACAAAGAAGAAACCTTCTAAGTCTATCGTCAAAATTCAAAAAATCTTTTCAAATGTAGAATTTTTCTACGTTCAAACTAAATAAAAAATACAGAAGTTTCTACTCAAGTGCAAATGTCTGTCTGCATTTTCATTTTGGGAAATATTTCTTATTATCGCAAAACGTAACACTCATTCTCTTCGTTAAAAAATAATCCGTCGATTTCAAGGTAACATTGAAAATCGTAAGCAGAGCTCTTAACTGCTATCGAACGCGTCCACAGGTGGCGGATGGTAGAACGCCTCCTAATTATAGGAAGTAGCTACATATGCAGTCGCGGACCAAAAGCGGCAGTCTACACACACACACACAACTAGTTAACTCTGGAAATTTCCATTTCTCCGTTCAACTGTTGATCGAAATATCTACACATACACACACATACACACACATACACACACAGTAAACTCTGGAACCTT